GAACGGGTTCATGCTGCACACATGGAAATACAACCTCGTGCCTAACTGAGCGACGAGCTTCCTCATGCAATTGAGGTCACCGCTGCCATCCTGCATCGGCTTCTTCGTAATGTGAGCGAATTTGATCGCGAAGCCTGCTTCGTGAACACTATTGCTCTCGCGGCGTTCAGGTTTATGTGCAGAACTAGCTCTGGCGGCAAGCACTCCGCCATGTACTGCTGGGCGACGGCAGTGCGGCGACGATCGGTCGTTGCCACAAGAAGGAGGCATGATCACCGACTCCTCGCCCTGCTCGCTCCAAGGAGCCCCTGATGCTAGCCAAATATCAGGGCGTACCGGCACCTCTCCATGCCGACCGCAAGGAAACCTGGAGAAGGAGGCGTTTGCTGATGGGCGGAGCTAAGCTCACAGCCGAACCGCAATGCTGTGAGCCAAATTGGCAACAGCGACGACAACGCTGGGGCACCTCGGGATGTGGGCCAATCGTGAGGCCCTTCAGTACCTCGTGGCAATTCTTCCGAGCCTCCTGGGGCTTCACGCGAGTGCATCACACTCTGGAACTCTACTTCTACCGGTGGATTCACCCAAACCTGCAGAACCCGACGCCGCGCCATCTCGATCCGCCGTACTTCTGAACTTTCTTGGGGCGTTCTTGAAACCCTCGTTCGACATGTGGAACCCTCCTGGGCACTCCTGGGCCTTCGGCGTCTTGGACCGAACCACTCCCGTGAAAGCCTGCGTGACCGCACCACAAGAACTCCGATAAGGAAAAGGAGGAGGAAGACGAAGGGCGGAACGACCGACTCCAATTCTGCCAGAGGTCACGACTCATTGCAGGACGATCCCGAACGTCTCACACACACGGAAAGGCCCGAACGACTCCCACTAGCCCCAGAAGCCCGAACTGCTCACGCCACGAGAGGCCCGATCGACTCACACACACGGACGAACCCGAACGACTCTCACCAGGACGACGGGCCTGGACGACGGACACCACGAGGAGCCTGAACGACTCACACGCAAGGAAAAGCCCGAACGACTCACAGCAGGACGAAGAGCCCGAACGACTCACACGAGGAAGAGCCCAAATGTGTCGCATACCACGACACCCGCCAACCACTCACACAGAATGGGGAGGCCGAACAACTCACACCAAGACGCGGCGCCCGAACCTGCAACACCCCGAGAATCTCGAGCGACTCCCACACAAGGAAGGGCCCCAACGACGAACGCCAGGACGAACGGCCCCAGGGACGCACAGAAAATTCGAGAAGCATAACACACGAACGAACGGCCCGAACGACTCCTAGAACACGTCCCAGCAAAACAAGGAACCCGAACGAGGGAGAATAAGCCCGCCCTTGAAGCCAAACGTAGACATCGTCGGGATACTCCTCGAGGGAAAACGAACGCGGCAGCAGCCAAGACGGCCGCCCGGAACGAGAGGCAGGGTCGTCGACGTCGTCGTCGTCGTCGGGGAGTATTGACTCGAACACCAAACTTGAAAGAAAATCGCAAACGATTCAACCGAACACCACACAAGCAACACAACATGACGTGTCTGAAATGTGCCACTCGAGAATCGCCGACGGAGTGTGGTGTCCATTATAAGCCATGCTACACTTAGACACCCTGTGAGAACCCTGGAAGATACCTGGAACTGCACCAACCACAACCTTGTATAGGACTATATCCTGACAATCGGGGAAACCTGCACCACGAGGGCAAGCTAGACCCCAGGCCCCTGGATACCCTGAGGCACGATACGCCTCGAGCCACTACATGGACTGTGACGGGATACGCCGGCACTCATGTTGAGAGCCTCGAGCTCTTCAATACCTGCAAGACCTCTCAGCACACTGTACTCCTGCCAGACTTCGAAGAGCGTTCTACCTAATCTACTTTTTTCCGTTCGTCCATAAGACAAGGCGATGCACTTCAGCCCACACGTTGCGTCGCGCTCCACGCGTCAACTGCACGCGAGCGCGGCAGACACACCTGGAATTTCGACTCTCAGACCTCGACATGAGCCTACTCAACATCCAAAGGAAAAATGGCGCACCCCTCGCACTCTCTTGGGAAGAGGAGGAGAACAAATTCAACTTCTGTGCATGTCTTTCGGTGCTGTCTTGATGTGCGTCGAAACGTCGTTGATTTATGAGTGCTTCTGTTTTGAAGACATGCGTGTATAGGCGTGGAGGGGAAACAATGGTCTGATGTCGCAATGACGATGGATCGTGCCGAGAAAATCACGAGAGTGGCGCGTCTCTGAGACACCTCGCGATGACCGCCGTGCCTGCATGTCACCGAGCGCTAACCGCAACGACGTCCTGCTGACACGAACGCGGGGCGAATGGAGAAGGATATGACTCACATCATATGCCAAAGTGAAAAGCCCGTAGCGGTGCTGGGCTACGTGCGGTACTTGCGCACACCAGCCACCTCGTGCCAAAAGCACAGTAGGCGCGTGCGTTCGGCTCGCAAGCCAAGTCACCATTGACGTGGTGGTCGTGGTCGTCGTCGTCGTCGCCGTCGTCGTCCTCTCGTCATCGTCGACGTCGTCGAAGTAGGCGGAGCTACGATCTCTACCCTCGCGGCGTCAGCCTCGCCATCACGTTCCAAGCCATGGGAACCGAAGTGCCGCGCGCCGACCGCACTGTCGAAGCTCAACATGAAGCGAGAATGCCGGCAACCAACATTCTGCGCGCTCGCTCCAAGGAGCCCCCGTGGCGAGCAAAAGTAAAAAAAAACACAGGCGCTTCCCTATGCCAACTGCAAAGATGATGCTAGTAGGCGGAGACTATTACGGGTAGGCGGAGCGAAGCTCACAGCCACACTCCAACAGTAGAAGCCAGAATGGCAACGAGAACAACGCTGGTCGGGAAAGATCGCTGGTTTCGACGACGACCGCCCTCTGTCTTGCTTCCCAACTCCTTCCCTCCCACCTCCTCTTCCGACTCCTCCTGCTTCGGAGCATAGAATACACGTACAGGCAAACAGACACACGCTTGCACCAAACAACTGTCGGCATGCTTCGCTGGGGTTCCTCGTCGGCGATAGCACTACTACTACTGCGTCTACATTTACTACAACGACTACTACTACTACTACTACTACTACTACTACTACTACTGCTACTGCTACTGCTACTGCTACTACTACTACTACTACTACTACTACTACTACTACTACTACGACTACTACTAACTACTACTACTACTACTACTACTACTACTACTACTCTACCTACTACTACTTCTACTGCTACTACGAGGACTACTACAACTACTGCTGCTACTACTACTAATACTACTACTGCTGTTATGCCTCCTAATCCTACTACTACTACTGCGAGCACTACTCCTTCTACCACGACACCTACATCTACTGCCACTGAAACTTGTCGTGTCGCTGCTACTGCTACTGCTACTGCTACTGCTACTACTACTACTACTACTACTACTACTACTACTACTACTGCTACTACTACTACTACTACTGCTACTACTACTACTACTACTACTACTACTACTACTACTACTACTACTACTACTACTACTACTACTACTACTACTACTACTACTACTACTACCACTACAAGGAGGCGGGATGAAGGAGGAACAGGGGAGCTATGCGGAGCCCAGCGGACACACGCCTGACACACACCACTGTCGGCATGCTTCACGAGAGGTGCTGCTGTGAGATGGGCTGGTGGGGGTACGCGAAGCGTAAAGAATTTATTTAATTGTCATTTGTTTTATCCTAAAAAACCTCCCCGTGGTTTTAGAACTGGCGTGTCCTCCTACGGGGAGATTTGGGGCGAAAAAAAAAACTAGTCCGCCGACCCCTTGTGGGTCTCCAAGCGTGTGAGATTGTTCCCCTCCCCGTAATCCCCCCCGAACCGGGATTTTGACCACCCCGCCGGCCTGGGCCGGCCCCGGACCGAACTCACCCGGGGCGGTCTGGGCTCCCTGGGACCGCTTTTGAGCTGCACGACGGCACTTGACGCCTCCCAAGAAGCCGCCAAGACGGTCCACGAGAACCCCAAGTCGCCGAAAAGCCGTTCCAAGACACCCAAGATGAGCTCAAAACGGCCCAAGAGGCCGCCAAGACACCCCACGAAGCGTCCAAGACACTCCAACAATCGTCCCATTCCCTAGGAATAAGAACAGCAACATGTTTCGCATACTTGCCTTTCCGGCTTTCACACCACATCGCCCCCGGACGACCGAAGGGGCCCCCTAGAGGAGTCGAAAAGGGTCCAAAAACAGCACACGAAGCCCCCAAAACAGCCCAAGAGGGCCCCACAGACGGCTCCAAGGGGGAGTCCAGAGGGCACCTTTTCGAGCCTTCGGCCCCAAGACGTCCCCAGCCTGCCCCAAGAACACCCCAAGAGGCCCTGATAGACCCTCAAGAGAACCTCAAAGGCCTCCAAGAAGCCCCCAGGAAGCCCCCAAGAGGCCCCCAAACTTGGCCCACGATGCCTCGAGGCGGCCTGATATGGCCTGCAGACAAGCCAGGATGCCACCAAAAGGCCACAAAGAGCACCAAGAGGCACGATACCAGCAACGAAGCAACAGGAACGATGTCGAGCGCCGTGTCATGATTCGGACAAGCCTCGTGAAATGCAGAAGGCAGGGGGGCGAAGCAAAAATTCGGAGGTCCGCGTGGATGTCGTGGATCGGCACTGGACCCCCCTTCCCAGCGCGCGAAGCGTGCCATGGGGAGGCGGCTGAAGGTGCCGCCATGGGGGTCCAACGCCGATGCCAGGAATCCGCGCAGATCGCCAAAGGTGTGTGTGTGTGTGTGTGCGTGAATGCCGACGTGTAGTTCTTCGCAGAATGGAGGATGCCCATCCTCTCCCCTCCTCCTCGCTGCTTCGGTGTTCGATTCCTCCGTTCCTCGGCATTGTCGTCGTTGTCCTCTTTCTCCACCTCCTCCTCCTTCTCCTCCTCCTCCTCCTCCTCCTCCTCCTCGCGCCGACACGCTCTCAACGTGTCCGTCCTCTCTGGCTCGCTGGCGTGGCTCTCGCCGCCCGTGCGCCGCTCGTGTGCTTGGCCGGCCACGCTGGCCGGCTGGAGGATCATGGGGGAGGAGGGCGGACACGACTGTGTTGTCCGATGCTCGCGAGGCTCCTCCCGGCGGTCCGCCCAGCCACTCCTTGGCGGCGCGCACAAGGGGGCGGAGGGAGGGGGGCGGGCTCCTCAGAAGGAGGCTGCTTCTTAGCAGGCGCCGGCCTCACATCTTGTGGACGAGGCCCGCGCCTTCTGAGAGGCAGGGGCGCCTCGGAGCAGCCCTCCCCCCCTCCCCTCCCCCCCCCCCCCTGCGCGTGGCCGAGCTCCAGCGAGCTCGGAGGCAGACGCCCAGAGAGGGCGCCGCCCCGCCCCCCCGGCGCCCCGAGGGCGCGGGGGGGGGGGCAGCAGAGAGAGCAAAAAAACCCACGGGGCGGGGCGGGCCGCGGCGCGCCCTCCCTGCCCGGACGAGCAGCGGCAGGTGGAGCCGAGAGACGGTCCGCCGGCAGGGGCGCCCGTCCCAGGGCGGCGGCGCGGCGCGGCTCCTCCCCCTGGCGGCGCGTCGGGGTGCCAACTGCCCAGCCGTCCCGGGACGTGCGCCCCAGCGGTGGCGCGCAGAGACCAGAACAGACGGCGCCGCCCCAGCAGCTATACGGCCCCACGGGCCGCAGCGCACACCAAGACGTCTGGCTGGGGCATTCTTGAGTGGTATACGCTGCGGCCCCCGATGGGCCGCAGCGCAACACGGAGGGCCGCAGGTGGGGTGGTGTCGTGTGTTTTCTGGCCGAAAAATGCGCCGCACTTCGAGCGGGAAGGCAGCGGGCTCTGGGGGGATGGGGTCCTGGCGCTCGGGCACGTCGCCGTGCTCGGGCCGCGGGGGGGGGGGGGGCTCCCTCCACGTCCGGGCACATGGGGCCGCCCAAGATCGGCTCGGGGCGGAGGGCAGCTCCTGGGTGAAAGCCCCAGGGTTAGGTCGGGCACGTCCTCCTGCAAGCGCGCGAACAGTCAAACATACTCTGAAACATACGCCAAGAATAATCCAAAAATTATAGAAAAGTCGTCCCCCTGCTATTTGTTTGACTGTGTCTCAGCAGTCTTCCTGTAGAGGGACGTGCCCGACTTGACCCCCAGGGGCACGGAGCCCGTTTGAACCCTCAGGACCGCCCCCCTCCACGGGCGCGCCTGAGCTCCAGGCGGGGGGCCCTGCGGCTGCAGCGGCGGCGGTCTGGCGGCCATAGCGCGAGGGGGGGGGGGGGGGCGAGGAGGAGGGGGGGGCGAGGAGGGGGGTCGAGGAGGGGGGGTCGAGGAGAGGTGGGGTCGAGGAGGGGGTCGAGGAGGGAGGGGCGGTCGAGGAGGGAGGGGGGGGGGCCGAGGAGGGGGGGTCGAGGAGGGAGGGTCTAGGAGAGGTGGGTCGAGGAGAGGTGGGGGAGGAACCTGGAGCTTGGAGCTCGGGTTCGGGGAGCGAAGACCGGCATGAAGCACAGCAGCTCGGAGGTCCGCGCGGAGTTCCCAGGATCGGCGCTGAATCCCCCCCCCTGGCGCGCGGAGCGCGCCAGGAGCGGCGCCGGAGCCAGGGGAGCCACCAGGGGATCCCAACGCCGATCCGAGGAATTCGCGCGGAACTCCGAGATGTTATTTATGTCATTGCTTGTTCCCCTGAGGAACTTGGAACTTGGAACTTTGGGTGTCCGCGAAAAGATCATCCCACGATGGGATCGGTGCCTGGGGCGCGGTGAGGGCGCGAGGCGCCGCTTGCAGGCCAGGGGCGCCCGCCTCGTGGGAGAGGCGGGGGAAGGGCGGAGGGTCAGGGACCCAGACCATCAGGGGCACCTCGGGTCAGCGCTAATTCGGGTACGCTTCTCGGGAGTCCGAGCCCGAGCTGCCCCGGGCCCGAGTTACCCCGGGTAGCTCGGGCGCCCAAGAGGGGAGACGAGGGAGGAAGCGGGGCGCTCGCGCGCCCCCCGCGTGCCGCTCACCCGTCGACGCGCCAGTTCTGGGCCTTGGACAGGCTGGGCCGCCCCTGGCGAGGGGCAACACTCTGGGGGGACAAGCTCCTGGCCGGGAAAAACATCGACCTGGAATCGGCGAGACCCTTCTCGAAGCAGCCCGGCACTCCCATCCGCATCTGCAAGGGCTACGGGAATTATCAGGTTTCGTGCCTCCCGGACACAACCCCGAAACCGCGATGGGTCCAAAACACCGTACTCATGAAACCACATACCGCCGCCGTGAAGGCGTCCACCACAGCCGGCGAGAAAGGCTATACAAAAACAAAGCGTCGGCGGATGTGGCGTACACGTCGTTCATTTCTAATCGTGCTCATTTCTAATTGTGCTCGTTTTTAATTGTTCCTGGCCCCCTGGTGGCCAGGAAGGGGCCCAGGATACAACAATTAGAAATGCAAGGATCATGGCCCCCCAGAAATCAAAGAACTGTCGAATAATCAAAAATGAACGACGTGTATAAAATCGACGAGACATCGCCGACGATGGATCGGCGACAGGCTCCCCATAGCGAATGCGGCCGCTCGTGGGCGGGGCGGGGCCATCGGGCCGCCCCAAAAAGGGGACGAAGAGTCGCCTGGGGGGGCGATGCTTCCCCCCCTGAGCCCCTCCCCCCCCCTCAACGTTGACGCCAGGGTGGACCTAAACAATGTTTTTGGCGATTCCGTGGGCCGTTTTCGTTTCTATTTCGTTCTGCGTGAAAGGCGGATTGAAGACAGAACGAGGGAGAACGAAAACGAAACGAACACGAAAAGCACCGTTTGGGTTCAGCCCTGCTTGGCCCTGACCTCGGCCAAGCTCACTCCTCGGGGGCCAGGCCGATCTTCGAGTTCCCGCCGCCCACGCCCTCGCCGATGCGGGCGCCCTGGCGGAAGGCCACGCGCCAGACGTTGAAGAGGGCCCAGGAGGCGGCGAGGAGCGGCAGCGCCAGCACGGCGAGGATGCGCACGTCGAACCTCGGGGGGGAACCAAGAAACGTAGAGGTGGAGGAGGAGGAGGAGGAGGAGGAGGAGGAGGAGTGCATGCACTCAAAGAGGAAGAGACGAGGGCAAGCGGACAAGACGCGAGAAGAGCGCAAATGTTCCCGCTCCTGTCTGTTGCCGCGCGTCTACCTCCACGTGCGTGCTTTGTCGCTCGGGTGCGCAATCGCCACACGTGCTGCGGTGAACACGGGGCCGGACACGCTGGGAGCGGCAGTGTATTCGTGCGGGTATGGGTCATGCGTGAAAGCGGGAAAAGAAGGGATGGGAGGCACGGGGCGGAGCGAACGGTAGGACGGGGAGATGGGTGGTGTGAAGCTGCGCAGGGACTCGAGGCTGTCTGCACTCCCGATGCTAGGCTCACGAATCCTCCAGGGTGCACGCTGAATGTAATCTGAAACTTGCATTTGGCCTGCGAAGTCTTCACCTGTATCGCGTGGGGTTGCGTACCCACCAGCCGGAGCGCAGCCATGGTCTTGCGCAGGAGGGGTTGCCACACCCTCCGAGCGCACCATCAAGAGGTCGGCCCAGGCGTCGACGCAGCGGACATGAGGCTGGTTATCGCGAGTGAGGTAGTAGCGAAGCGCAGCAATATTACGTCACCTCCACCACTCGCGGAACGTCTGGGTCAAGAAGGCCAGCGAGCGCTTGCCGAGGAAGCGGCGCATGGCGATGAAACGGCGCAACGACTGTACCGCGAGGCCGGGCGGATCAGTGCCACGACGGTCGGCGGCGCCACTCGGTGCAGGAGGGTCGGGTTCGTGCAGATCTGCGGCATCCGCGGCAGCGGCCTCAGGAAGAGCGGCACCAGCGGCAGCAACAGGGGGTACGTGTAGAGCAGCGTGTTAATCTTGAAGCTCTTTGGGAGCAAGCATGTGGCCACCAGCGGCAGCAATAGGAGGCGCGTGCCGAGAGGCGTGGTCACTATGAAGCTGTTCCGGAGCATGCTGGTTACCACCAGATGCAGCAGGCACTAAGCTGGGCTGCATGCTGTACGTATCGGTTAAGGCCGCAAGCTCGGATCGGATGTCGTTGATCTCCGTGGGAACCTGACGTTGGAGGGACTCCATGACGGGCTGAATCGCGGTGGTGAAGAGAGCGGGCAGCTGCGTGGTGTAGGAGTCCGAGAGCATCGCGAAGCCCGCGTGGATCTTGTCGTCTAACGTGTCCAGGATCCGCTGGGCATCAGGAGGCTCGTGCGGAAGAGCGACTTCAACTTGAAACCCTTGGGGAGCGTGCCGTTCGCCACCATCGGCGGCATCAGGAAGCTCGTGCCGAGAGGCGGATTCACCATTAAGCGCTTCGGGAGCGCGCAGGTCGTCACCAGCGGCGGCAGCAGGAGGTTCTTGCAGAAGAGCGCGTCCGCCATGAAGCTGATCGGGAGCTCGCAGGTCGCCACCAGCGGCAGCACCAGGTGGTTCGTGCAGAGGAGCGACATTGCCAGGGAGCTCTTCGGGGGCGTGCAGATTGCCACCAGCGGCAGCAGCAGGAAGATCGTGCAGGGGAACAACTTCAGCATGATGCTCAGCGGGGGCAGTAGCTGCAACTTGAGGTGGACGTGGCCCAGCACCTCCGCAACCTGGGGCGAGAGCACTGCTTCACGGCCTCCTGCGAGTGGTGGTGGCAGCGGGCCAGCGCCAGCAGCCGCTCGGCGTGGCATACAAGGTTGAGGAAGTAGATCACGAGCAGCCCCATGCAGGGGGAGCGGACCAGCACCTTGTCGTAGCGGAGCGGCAGCGGCAAGCGGTCCGCCAGGGGGTCGAACGTGGCGGCGGTGGATGAAGTCAGCGATGTCCTTGAGGGGGCCCTCGCAGATGCCCAATGAGATGATTTGCAGTGGCGCACTCTGCGGCGCCAGTGGACGTGCAGGAACGGCTGGTCCCGCGGCTCGGTCAGCAGAAGGACCTGGAAGCAGAAGATGAAGTTGGAGTTGAAGTGACTGGTGCTCTCGGAGGCGTGCAAGTCCGCGATGAAGGGCGCGACAGCGTCGAACGTGAACCGCCGCCTCGGACCTGAGATGCGGCATGATGGTGGCCAGCAGCAATGGCAGCAGTGCTGGCCAGAGCATCATTGCGGGCTGGAGCGATATGGACGGCGCGCGGGCGGCATGATCCTCCGCTCGCAAGGAGGCGGCGCCACTGAGCCAGACTGGCAACGGGGCTCGCACCCCCTTTGGACCCCAAAAGGGGTCCAAGTGAGGCTTGAGCCAAAATGGCTTGAACCAAAATGGTTTGAGCCAAAATGGCTTGAGCCAAAATGGCTACGGAAGGAGGAGGAGGAGGAGGAGGAGGAGAAGCCAGAAGGTGCCGATTCCTCCACTCCTAAGTCGGGAGTGTCCCCCTACAAGGGGATTGTCGACGAAAAATAAAACAAAGACTCAAAACAGGCTCCAAAAGTTGTCAAAGAAGTACTCAACGAATTGACCACTTACTATTTCAAACTATTATTCTTTAATATTCACCCTGTAGAGGGTTGGGCCCGACTTAACGCTACTCCCCAGACCTCTCCTGGGGTGCGTTCTGACCGGAGTCTCGTGGCGAATCCAGCGGTGGTGACGCGGGCCTCCCGGGGGGCCCAAAACCAAAAGGGGGGAAGCGGGCGAGGGGTAGCGGTGTGGGCAGCCCTGCCCTTCTCGGAGAACCCAGCCGAGATCGAAGCCCCAGCCCCGTCCTCACAACCCCCCGGCCGTTCAGAGCAGGCTTGGGGGAGACCGGGGCCCAGAGCGGAGGGGCGCTGCCTCTCCGGGGACCGGTCCTGAGAGCGCCGCGGGGGCGGGGTCGGCCTTTCGCCCTGAGCCGCTCTGGACGGTCCCAGTCGAGCTTCACTGGCGAAGAAGGGTGTAACATAAACTTTTTCGCCGTCGGGGGCGCCTGTCCCACGGCGGCTGGAAAGTTTCTACCCTTACGGTGGCACCGCAGGGGTATAAACTTTCCAGCCGCCCAGGGGCGGGAGTCCCCGACGGCGGAAAGTTTATGTTATACCGTTCTTCGCTCGCTGACGAACGTTGGCAAGACTGGATTTAGTGGGACCTGTTCTGGTGATGCGTGCCGGGCAACGCCCCCCCCCATCCCCCGCCCCGTTCCACTGACCCAAGCTGCCGCCGCCCAGAGAAACACAAACTACTGCAGACCTGGTTCAGTGACCCTGGTTCATGTCTTATGCTTCGGCACCCAATCACTAACCGTCTTCCGTTACCCGGGGTCCTGGATGTGTCCGACCCAGCGCCCATGGAGGTCACCAGGGCCCCCGAAGGGTGAACAAAAACTCCAGGACCGCTTTGCTAGAGTCGATGATCCGCAGAACGTGTGCTAGCACCAACGTGTGCTTGTCCATCGAGGCGCTTCACCATGACGCAGGCGGCGGCAGTGAGGTCCGACACAGGCTGCGTGCTATCGATGGATCTGAGCGGAGTAACTTGCCGTCGCTCGGACGTCCATTTCCCGTGCATTTTTCTGTTTCGTGCGTGTTTTTTTTGTTCGATGGTCCAGGATGGTCCTCGCCGAGAAAACAATGCACACGTCCGAGCGATGCCAAGGGGAAGCACGCATTTGGCCAACACGCGGCCTCAAAATCATCGTGGTGACTCTCTGTGTGCAGGGGGCGGGATTCGGCCAGCAAGAGCCCGTCGTCGTCTTCGGAGGCGATCGCCAGCGCCGGCGCGGGCACGGCCGAGGCGGCGGCCAGCACCGCAGCGTACGCCTCGGGGGTCCCGACAAGGGGTGGCGGTGGACCCTGCGGTGACCTCGTCATCCCAAAAAACGCTCATCGCACGGTCGGTCACCGCACGGTTTCGGGACCTTGTCCCAATCGCCCGGAGAACGGCCCCGAGTGGCCCGAGCGCCAAAAGCATGCGGCGGCCCCGAGCCCCCAGTCGACTCGCCACTCCAGCCCTCCTCCAAAGGCTCGCTCACAACTCGGGACTGGGGGGCCACATGCGAACCCTACCCCTACCCCCCACGATTTCCGAGGGGGAGGGTGGGGTTCACTTCGTTCGGGAGCTCCCGAGCGAAGTGAACCCCACCCTCCCCCTCAGAAATCGTGGGGGGTAGGGGTAGGGTTCGCATGTGGCCCCCTGGGGACACAACTCGGGTCTCCGGCGGCTGTTCGGGACGAGCCGGGCGCCCCCAGAGCGCCCTCGGCGAGGCGCGGCGGCTGGGACGCATCCCGAGGCAGGAGAGCCCACGGGAAGCAACGATCGGGGGGACGCAAAGGGAGGTGGGATTGGAGCAACATCGCAAAACAAAAAGAACCGTTCACTACCACCAGCCCTCTGGGCGTAGGTGGTCTAGGGAGGCTCCTCTTCCAACCCCCTTCTTCCCCTTTCGGCGAGGGGTTTACAGTACCACTTTCCTCATTGATACACACCCCCTCCCCCAGGCGACAGGCAGCCAACCAGGAACAATGATAACCCAATGAGGGCCATCCCCCCACCATCCCTGTCAAAAAACAATACAAAGTACAAGTTGGGGCAAAATGCAGAGTCATGTTCGTGAGGCCCACAAGCACTTTTTCCTTAGGACAGCGGGGGTGTCAGCATATTGCCCGCTGTACGCAATGCTAGTCCCTCACCAAAAAGCACAATGCGCAATGCATCCCGCGGCTAGATCTGGATCGTGCGCGGCCGCCCCGCGATCACTGTCAAGTGGTGGCGTATGGCCTGCTGTGCGCAGGCCCACCAGACACAATGATGGGCACTGGTCTTCGACATGTATGGTGGGGGCCGACATGTTTCTCGATGCGCGCTGTCACGTGCCCAGGCGCACCTGACACACTCTGCGCGTGCCCGGAACGTGGCGCACCTGGCGCGGCTGGAGTATGCGGCACACCCGGCGCGCGCGGAGGCACGTGGCACATCTGGAGCACCATGCGTGCCTGGCACGCTCGGGCCCCAGGGGGGCCTGGCGCGTGTTGCGCGCCCGGCACGCGTGGCGCACCTCGCCCCAGCGTCGCGCACATGGGCTCGGTGTTTGCTCCCCATGGCTGCCCATCCAAAGACGACCGCTGAGCATGCAGAGGCTCGGGCGTTACCTCTGTGCTGAAAGGGCGGGTGGGAGTGAGCCAGACGGCTTGCTAACTGGGAGGGTGCCTTGGCCCCTCCCCCGAACCCCCCCCGCCCTGGACCTGGACGGGGGGGGAGGGGGGGGGCGGACCTGGACGGGGGGGGGGGGGCGGCAAGGCGTTGGAGCGTCCCAGATTGGTCAAGACGGCTTCGAGAGGGCCCCTGAGGGTCCACGATGAGCTCCAAGGTGACTCCAGATAGCGCGTGATGCCTCAAGATGGCTCCCACGATGCTCCAAGAGGCCCCAAGAACGTTCCACGACGACTCCAAGAGGCCTCCGAGACCTCCAAGGAGGCCCCCAAGAAACTCAAATCCTTCAAAAACCCAGGGAGCATCAGTGATCGTTGCTCTCTCGCGCGGTCGCTTCCGATGGCCATCCGAGGCCTCAAGATGGCTCCAAGATGACCCCAAAGAGCCTGAAATCACACGCCCCCGTGGGGCACACACCGCCTTTGCGGGATCCCGCCCGCTCACCGCGAAATTCTTCCGCTTCTGATCGCCTACCCCCTTCTCCCCCCGCGCGGCCGCCCTCTCCTCCCTCTCGTCCTCTTGCACGTCAGACAATTTGCCTATATCGTCCCCCCGATTCGCCCGACGCTGGTGCGGATCGCCTCCGCCTCGCCGCCGACGAAGAAAATGTGTTCCCCGACCCCCGACATCATGATTTTTCCATGACGTCGACCCCCAGAAGTTTCGACCCATCCTCCGGGACAAATTTTTCATCCAAAGTCGTTTTTGACGGCCCCGAGACCCGGGAAGGGCCTCCCGAGGCCGAAAATGGTGGAAAAGCTCCCGCCATTTTTGTTGTTTTGTCATTTCTCGAGGGGGTCTGGGTTTTCCTCCTCTGAAGGTTCTGTTGCACCGCTCCTCCAGGTGAACACTCAGTGACGTAAGCATAACAACTCGGAGGTCCGCGCGGACTTCGCGCGCGCCAGTGGCGGCGCCAGAGGCGCCGCCAGGAGGCCCAGGCGCTGACCCGCGAAACCCGCGCGGAGCTCCAGGTTGTTCTGTTCACGTATCTCATTGTCTGTTCCCCGCTCCTCATCCTTGGTTGGGCGCCCGAATTATCCGGGGTAACTCGGGTCCAGGGTAACGCGGGTTTGGATTCCCGAAAAACGAACCCGAGTTAGCCCTGACCCGAGTTACCCCTGATGATTTGGGGCTCTGGACGCCCGAATTATCCGGGGTAACTCGGGCCCGGGGCAACTCGGATTCGGAATCCCGAAAAGCGAACCCGAGTTAGCCCTGACCCGAATTACCCCTGATGATTCGGGGCTCTGACTTGGCGGCGCCCACGAGGGGGTGGAGGGAGGGGGAAAGCTTCTCAGAAGGAGACTGCTTCTTAGAAGGCGCCGGCCTTGCATCAGTAGATGAGGCCCGCGCCTTCTAAGAAGCAGGTGTGCTTCTAAAAGGCCCTCCCCCCTCCCCCTAATCCAAATCCCCTATTAATCGTCCCCCAGGTCCGGTTTTTTAAGGCGCCTTTTTGTAACTGGGCGGGGCCCGGTGAATTAGGGCGCTTTCTTTGGATTGGAGCTGAGGGGTTCCAATTTATGAAGGCGCCCCGTCGAAGAGGGGGGTCCGGAATCTTTGGTCGCATTTGGAGGGGAGGTCCGGTTTTCAGGAGCGGGTCGATAGATAACGGACTTGGAATCCCCTTAGGTCGGGCGCGGATTTTGGACGAAAATAAAAAATACTCACAACATACTCAAACATATCTTTGAATACCAAAGAAATCGTCCCTGACGATTTTTAAAACTACTTTTGAGTATTCCTCATGTCGAGGGACAGGCCCAACTCAAGAGTACCCCCCTCTGCGCGTTGTCGCGACGCCCTCCAAAATTGGCTGCCCCGACACGCAACACGCAACACGTAGCGTACTGATACGGAGCTCAACACGTAGACTCAACGCGTACGTTTTGAACACGGACGTTTTGAACACGGCACGCGTTACGTTTCTGGGGACGCCAAAAAGTAACGATGCCGCTGCTCCCCGGACCTCTCCCGGGGTGCGTTCGGATCAGGATCTCGAGGCGAATCCAGCGGTGGCGACGAGGGCTCCCCAAGAGGCCCCCAAAAACGGAAAACGAGGGAAGGTAGCGGTACAGTGTGGGCGCGGCCACAAGAAACCCTCGCAAGAAACCCAACCCTGAGAACCCGCGCGCGAGGTACACAAGAGGGGAAACCCGGAGCACCCTGCACGCAGCAGCTCCTTCAACGGCTGCGGGAAGTCACCGCGCAGCGCGAGGAGCGAAGACACCCAGGATATACCCTGACGAAGCGCAGATGGCTTCTTGATGCGCGCCCCCACTGCAATCATGGGAGTACCTCTTCCTCCTCTGAGCTTCCAAGCGTGCGTCCCAGAGCAGCTGATCGGGGATGGACAGACCCCCCTTTAGTAAAACGTGGTTTAGTGAAAACGACCTGAGGCCCAAACCCGGCGGGCGCAAGCCTGGAAAATAACGGGCACGGCGCCCTCTCGAGAACCGAAAACGGACAATTCACTCATCGACGTGTCACTGTTGGGGGTTCTGTCCACCCCCGAGCTGAGCCGCCAAACCCTCGGGGGCCTCGAGCGGCTCGCCGCCCGCGCCGCCGGCCCTCGGGGGCGCCCCCGCCGGCGGCGGGAGGAAGGCCGCCGGGCGGCACGCGGCGAGGGCGAGCGCGGCGAGCAGCAGGGCGGGCCGGGCGGGCCGGGGGCGCGCGGGGGCCATCGGATTGCGCCGCGCGAGGGAGCCGGGCGGCGGGCGGCAGAGGTCGAGCGCCTCGGAGGAGGAGGACGCGGGGCGGGGGGCTATATCCATGTCCACCGCCTGGGACCCAGACACGATCGCGTCGTAACAAAAATCAGGGCGGGAGGTTTTTTGCACATTTTCGGCCTCGGGGGGCCCTCGCCGGGCCTCGGGACCGTCCAAAAACGACTCAGGGCGAAAAACCGGCCCCGGGGAAAGGGCCAGGACTTCCGGGGACGCCGTCCTGAAACAATCAGGACGTCGCATGTCTGGGTCCATGTCCACCGCCTGGGAAGCGACGTCCAGGTGCCCCAGCGGGCGGTGGATTTGTCCATATCCACCGCCTGGGAACCGACGTCCAGGTGCCCCAGCGAGCCGAAATAGATCCAGATGGATACATATAGTTCGGCCCTCAGGGGTCCGGATCTGTCCGTCTCCACCGCCTGCCGAGGCTCCGAAAACGGACCCTCCAGGCGGTGGACCCAGACCCCCGACGTCATGATTTTTTCATGACGCGACCCCCAGAGGTCCGGACCTATTCGCCGGGACCGGTTTTTCATCCTGAGTCGTCTTTTGACGGTCCCGAGGGCCGGTAAGGGCCCCCAGAGGCGGAAAATATGGAAAAACCTTCCGTCGTGATTTTTTCATGACTCGAGGGGGTCTGGGGATATGGATACATTCCCGCCTCGGAGAGGGGTAGACGAGCGCGCTCCACTACTCGCAGAGTAGCTACTCCCTCGCAAGTGGCCCGGGCCCGCCGCAGGCCAGCGGCGGTCAATGACACCGGAGCGGGCATGTGTTTTTTGTTCGCACGTTGGCGAGTAGGCGCTCTGCGAGGAACGGAACGCCTTCGGTGAGGGAGGAGGTGCCCATACGGCTACCCCCAGGCCCCCTCGCGCAAGGAACAACACAGAAATCATGACGGGAGGTCTTCGTTCACCATGTTCGGCCTCGTGGGGCCCCTCCCGGGCCCCAGGGCCGTCAAACAGCGGCTCGGGATTCGAGAAACCGGCCCCGGGGAAGGGGTCGCAACCTCTGGGGGGCGACGTCGTGCACACACGTCACGACGTCGGGGGCCTGGGTGTCGGCCCCTTCGCCCGTCGTTCCATCTTCGGGCCTCCTCGCGAGGGCCCTCGTCGCCACCGCCGGGTTCGCCTTGAAGTGCACCGGGAGAGGTGCGGGGAGTAGCGGCGGCGGTGCCGTTCTTTCGGGTGTCGCCAGAAGTGCCCCCCTGGGCCAGGGGCACTCCCGGCAACGCCCGAGCCCTGGCCTCCCCAAGCCCGTGCACAAGAAGAGCGCACGATCCTCCTCTTCCTCCTCCTCCTCCTCCTCCTCCTCCTGGCCCGCCGAGAGAAGGCACGCCCGAGCAGAACTGAGGCCCACCTCTGGGAGGCCCCGACGTCGCCTTCGTGCTCGAGGGCGGCAAGAGGAGCAGCAACTCGCCATCGCTCGGACGTCCACTCCCCGTGCGTTTGTCGGTTTCGTGCGTGTTTTTTTTGCTCGATGGTCCAGGGTGGTCCTCGATGGTTCTGGCGGGAAAAGAATGCACACGTCCGAGCGATGAGATGCCACGGCAACGGAGGAGCCTGAGGAACCAAAGGAACGCACGGTCAGTCAGGAGGCAAGCACTGGGAGGTCTCCGCCGGAAGGATCAGGGAGAGTTCAGCCCCATTGGTGGGCTGCTACGCCGGATTCGGCCGCGGACTCAGCGTGGGATTGGGTCGGATTAAGCGGGATCAAGCAGGAGTCAGCGGGACTAAGCCTGATGAAGCCGGAGTTTCGGACCAGGGCAAAGTCAAAATCTGACCTCCCAGGATTTGCATCTGCAGCCGAAAGGATGCAAGGGCCTGGGAGGGCCAGGCCGACACCTGGAGAGCGGGGCGCGGCCAGTGAGTGGCCACGGATGGACCGAATGGGGAGGGAGGAAGCCAGGGCAACCTTGGAAAGTCGCTCATCCTACTGTGCGGGTTGACTGTATTGTTGGAGGCCTGGAAATGGGCACCAACACCAACACAGGGGGCTGCCTCCACAGGGGGAAGATGATCCTAGATTTCGGTATTGATGGTAATATTTCGGTCACCTTGGAAACCATAATATTACCACCATCACCGAGATCGGGATCGTCTTCCCTCGCTGGAGGCATACCGCCGATCATGGTGTTTGTTGGTGTCAACCTCTGGGCCTGCGATATTGCGCCACGCGCCAAAGAGAGGTACGAGGGAGGGGCGGCGTCTCAGAAACACCCTCCTTCTACCGAGCCGTTCCCCCCTCTATATATATATATATATATATATATATATATATATATATACACAGGACTGCAGTGGCGCTTCGCGCCATGCACCTTGGTCCTTGAAGTTTGGTTTGCAGGCGGAATAGCAAGAAGATCAAGCGACAATTTAGCGATAACTCCTTGTTGCCTTTTCCGGCATCGCCGCTATGATAATGATATTCGTTATCCTTCCTCCATGCTTCTTTTTCCTCATGTTGGCCATGCCCTGCGCATTCTCTCTATCCTCCTCAGTTTTTTTTTGCGGAGGTTCCTCCTGGGAGAGCCTCTGGGGGCCTAAAAAAAATTGTCTCAGGCTTTCTTAAGGCCGTCTGGAGGCCTTCTGGGCGTATTCTGGGGGCCTCTGGGGGCTTCCTCGGGCCACCCTGCCTCCAACCACGGTCTCCCTGAACGACCGGGTCACGATTTGGAATGCTTCGGAGGGTGTCTTGGGGCCATCTTGGGCCGCCATGGGGCTCTCTGAGGGCCATCTTGGAGCCGTGTTGTGCCGTTTTGGGGCTCTCTGGACTGCCTGGAAGCCCCTTCGGATGGTTGTGGGGCGATTTTGAAGCCTCCCAGGTGGCTTCGGACGCCCAGAAGACCGCCGTCTTGGAGCGTCGGGAAGCCAAAAAGAGGAGAACCCCAAAATTCACCAAAATCTACCAGAAAATCTATGATTTTTGCCTCTTGGGAGTGCTCTTGGAGGCCTCTTTGGGGCCGTCCTGGAGGCCTCTTGGGCCATCTTGAGGTCACGTCGGTGACTCTTGGAGCGCTCTTGCGCTGTCATGGGGTCTTTGAGACGTCTCCGATGACCCCCCTGATCGCCCAAAGTGTGCTGGGAAGGCTTGGCAAAGCGCCCTGCGAGGCCAAGGGGGCCGCTTCGAGGACCGTCCGGAGGGTCCCAAAGCCCCAGATCCCGGGAGTCCCGTTTTGGGAGGGGGGGGACGGGTTTTCCCCCCGCCCGGGCTTATAAAAATATAAGAAGAGGAGTACATATATATATATATATATATATATATATATATATACATACACAAGGCTGCAGTGGCGCTTCGCGCCATGCACCTTGGTCCTTGAAGTTTGGCATGCAGGCGGAAATGGCAGGAAGGTCAAGCCGACAATGTAGCGAGAACTCCTTGCTGCCTTTTCTGGAATCGCCGTGGTAATAATGTTGTTCGTTGTCCTTCCTCCGTGCTTTTTTTACCTCATTCTCGCCATACCCTGCGCATTCTCCCCATCCTCCTCAGCTCTTTTTGCGAAGGCTCCTCCTTGGAGAGCCTCTGGCGGCCTCACTAAAGTTCTCAGGCTTTCTTAAGGCCTTCTGGAGGCCTCCTGGGCGTGTTCTGGGGGCCTCTGGGGTTTCCTGAGGCCAACCTGCCTCTAACCGCGGTCTCCCTGAACGCCCCAGTCATGATTTGGAATACTTCGGAGGGTGTACCGGGGCCATCTTAGGCCGCTATGGTGCTCTCTTAGGGCCATGTTGGACCCCTCTTGTGCCGTTTTGGGGTTCTCTTGGACTGCCTGGAAGCCCTTTCGGATGGTTGTGGGGCGATGTTAGAGCCTCCCAGGCGGCTTCGGACGCCTAGGAGACCGCCGTCTTGACGCGTCGGGAAGCCGAAAAGAGGAGAAACCCAAATGCACCAAAAACCTATATAGAATCAATGATTTTTCCCCACCATCCTGTGGTGTTGGGTCCTCGTTTTGAAGAGACGGTGCCCCGCGTTCCTCTCCTCCTTCCTCCTCCCCCTCCTCCCTCCTCCCCTCCTCTTCTCTCTTCCGTCAGAATGATCATCTGCAGCATCATCCTCATCCACATCCTCATCCTCATCATCGTCTTCATCATCGTCCCCACCGCCCATGTCGTCACACCCCTCACACGTTTCGTGGCCCCATAGGGAGCTCCACCGAAGGTCCCACTGGGGGGCGTTCGCATGCGTCTCCCCCACCCAGGACCGCGTTTCGTGGCCCCATAGGGAGCTCAACTGAAGGTCCCAATAGGGGTGTTCGCATGCGTCTCCCCCACGCAGGACAGCGTTTCGTGGCCCCATACATAGGGAGCTCCACCGAAGGTCCCAGTAGGGGTGTTCGCATGCGTCTCCCCCGCCCAGGACAGCGTTTCGTGGCCCCATAGGGAGCTCCACCGAAGGTCCCACTGGGGGTGTTCGCATGCGTCTCCCCCACCCAGGACAGCGCTTCGTGGCCCCATAGGGAGCTCCACCGAAGGCCCAAGTGGGGGTGTTCGCATGCGTCTCCCCCACCCAGGACACTGTTTCGTGGCCCCGTAGGGAGCTCCACCGAAGGTCCCAATAGGGGTGTTCGCATGCGTCTCCCCCACGCAGGACAGCGTTTCGTGGCCCCGTAGGGAGCTCCACCGAAGGCCCAGTAGGGGTGTTCGCATGCGTCTCCCCCGCCCAGGACAACGCTTCGTGGCCCCATGGGGAGCTCCACCGAAGGTCCCACTGGGGGTGTTCGCATGCGTCTCCCCCACCCAGGACAGCGCTTCGTGGCCCCATGGGGAGCTCCACCGAAGGTCCCAATAGGGGTGTTCGCATGCGTCTCCCCCACCCAGGACAGCGTTTCGTGGCACCATAGGGAGCTCCACCGAAGGCTCCAGTGGGGGTGTTCGCATGCGTCTCCCCCACCCAGGACAGCGTTTCGTGGCCCCATGGGGGGCTCCACCTAGGACACAGGTTTGCCTGTCCCCCACCCAGCATCACCTAGGAAAGCGTTGCGAGGAGGAGGAGGAGGAGGAGGAGGAGGAGGA